ATTTTATTTTGTTAATTTCAAAGATTTGTGTGGCCACCTATCTTAGAGTGCAACTTTGGGTGCTTCACAACAACATGCATAAGGCAGCAGTAGTTTTAACTTTGGACTACATATTCAAGTCTAGTGTTGCCACTCTCTTGCTCAGTTATCCAAGATGCTATAAAGCGGTAGTGATCAAAGACTAGTAGCAATTGGATCCCCCTTTGGAACATGCCTCTCCTCTTAAGCATTTTAAGTACAGCTAGTACATGTCTGCCATGGATCTAAATTCATTCAAAAAGATGCATATTCTGAAATGGGATCTTGACTGGATCAAATCCAAGGTATATCTGACCTACTGTCCATGTTAGTACTCAGAAAAGGATCGGCTTGCATCTGTATCCCAGATGGATGTTGTTGGCTTGACATTGTGAAAAGGGTCTGTGTCTCAATCAGTCTTCTCTCAGTTGGGGGAATTTTATCTGGCTGGGAATTTTGGGGGGGCAGAATTCACATCTGGATGGTTGAGAAGAGCTGATCTCAGCCAAAGTTGATGCCAGTGAATGAGTTGATGCTGTTACCACATTGTTTTACTTAAAGTTTTTCTGAATTCGACTTCACTGTTTGAAATGGCAATATAAGGGAAGCTTCCAGATTATTTAAGAATTCTGAATGGTAGCATTACTTTGATTGGCTTTACTTTCTAAATATTTTGTTTGTTATATTTGCACCCACAAATGATTGAAACTTAATTTTGAAGTCCTTTGGAAGGGTAGAAACACTTAGTAAAATTCTTTACATGCTGACTTTGATAGAATCAGCATGCTCCAGGACTAATCAGTAAAGCACTGCCATCTTGTGGGCCTTGAGAAATTGGATTTCTCTATATTTGTTGTTAAACTCTGGAGTAGTATTCCCAAATCCATGCAATCCACATGCGTGTTCAACAGGCTGGTTTGTGACCTACTTTATAACCTATGTTTTATATGGGGCTAGTTCCCTGACAATGGATTTAGTAATCTTAGTGTTACTCTTCAAATTGCATTTCTTGTTATTTTAATATTAATGATTTGTAATTTGTAAGCTATCTAGAAATTAGTTGGTAGTTCAGGTTAGGAGACCATGAGCTCTAATCCCATTTTAGGGACAAAGCCAGCTGGGTGACCTTGGGCCAGTCCTTATCTCTTAGCCCTAAGAAGGAGGCAATGTCAAATCCCCTTTGAAAAACCTTGCCAAAAAACCTGGAGGGACTTGTTTAGGCAGTCACCAGGAGTAAAAATTGACTCAAAGGCATCAAGCAAAAAGCTATCTGGAGTTGCAATTGTGACTGAGGAAGCTTATAAGTCATTTAAATGAATAAATTATAAATGTAATTTTATACCAAAGCATGTTCCATTCAATTGCATGCATTTGAGCATGATTTGAACTTGTAAACAAGTTTCAGGGAGATTACGTGTACAATATTTGAATATATCCCTTGAACTTTTCAGCACTCATGAAAAAGTATTGTCAAAACATTGTCATTTTTTTTATCAAAACAAATTTTAAAACAGGGAAACAAAGGACTTGTTTTCTATAGATATGATAATTGTTTACATACAAAGCTATTATATAGCTGCCTTGTGAGATGTTGAGAACTCCTCTGAGTAATAGTTTTTTAGCTGCCATTGATGTACACTAGAGCTGTCCTTCCCTATTACCACTAAAACTGCCCTTTCAGGAAGATGGGGAACCACTGTAAAACAGTCTCCCTCTGATCCTGTGTCTCAGACAGCCCAGGAGGACTGCATAGTTATCTCCCAGCTTGAATTCTCCACATGGGACTTGGAAACCACTTGAAGTTTCAGCTGGTCCAGAATGTAATGGCATGAGTAGTAATGGGCATTGAGTGTGACATCTATATAGAGGTAGCCCTTGACTTACAGCCATAACTGAGCCCAAAATTTCTATTGTTGGATAAAACGTGTTCAGTGAGTTTTTCCCCATTTTACAAACTTCCTTGACACAGTTGTTAAGTGAATCATTGCCATTGCTAAATTAGTAATATGGCTGTTAAGTGAATCTGGTTTCCCCATTGACTTTGCTTATCAGAACACCAAGTGATCACACAACCCCAGGACACTGCAATCATCATAAATACATGCCAATTGCAGAATGTCTGAATTGTGACCATATGACCAGCGGATGCTGCATCAGTTGTTACTGTGAAAAATTGTCATAAGTTACTTTTTCAGTGTCGTAACTTTGAATAGTCCTAAACAAACTGTTGTAAGTCAAGGACTACAACAGTTTGAATGTTGTATTTGTATTTGTACTGTATTTGAAATTTGTATTGGTTGCCAGTATGCTTCCAGGTGCAGTCAAGGTGCTGGTCATTACCTCCATGGCATAGATTTTGGATATTTTGAAAAACCACCTATCTCCCATGGTTTCTGCTTGGCCAGAAACAGTGCTCTCTATTGGGACCTAGGAAATATCCCTTCTCTTTTGTGGTTCTTGCTCTCTAAATAAGAGAGCTGTGGGAGTTCTGGAAGACCTTGAAGACCCAATTGTTCTCCCAGTAGTTAGGTTAAGATGAATGGAACTCCTTGTCGGATGTATTTTGGTCTATGTTTTTGTTCAGAGCAACTGCATCCTATCTTATTTTGTATTGTTTTGTATTTCATTGTTTATTATGAGTAATGAGGAGTTGGTGTCGGGCAGTACCTATATTGAAAATAATTGAAAATAATCCATCAATTAATTAAATGCTGTAGCTGGTTTTTTTTTAATTAGATTAACTCTTTCAATATCAATTACATAGGATTGCATATTTCACCCATATAAATGTGGGCTGCAAATTATTACCTGCTGGATATCTGGATATCGTACAAGGCTAAAGAGTACAGATTAGCTCGCTAAACTCTCCTGAGGAACTAAATAATCATTCTCTGAAGATCATACATCTAGAAAAAAATATGATATACTTATGATGGTATGACTTAGGTATTTAAATGCTCTGTAAATATGTTAAATAGTCTTACCTATCATTTTTGTCATTTGTAATATTAGGACAAAATACTGAGAGTTTTAAGGTTTATTCAATAATCTGGGGAAAATCCTGCTTTCTCAAAGAGCTGAGGTCAGAAGAAGCCTCTCAATGATATGTATCTAAATTCCCAAGGCATGAGGCTTGGCCAAGGACTTGAGGACCCTGTGGCCAATTTAGAGATTTCTCTTTAGAGATTTATCTTTCTTAGCAAACTACTTTCCTCCCCAAACAAATCTACCTTTATTTACTCTGTCCAACTAGAACATATGGCCCTATTAGGTGCCAGCATCAGCTCAAATAACTCAAGCAGAGTCATGTTGGTTAATACTTGAATGCGAAATGTCAGAGCAATAGTCTAGACTGGGAAATTATCTTTACTTTTATCAGAACATGTAAACAGAGAAGGATGTATATAACATGTATTTCAAAATACATTGGAACTGTAGCTAGTTCTTCACTGGTATGCAGCATCTGTCACTTCTATTAAAAGGTTGTGGCTTTAGCCTGATATCCCAACATTCCCAAATCTAGTGTTTTCCCAGCTTCCTTCACTATCCATAATTATGGCCAGATGATAAATGCCTATGGATTCATATTTTGTTCACCTTCCATGTTTCTTGCACAAGAAGAACATAGTCATATAATGAATATGAAGGTAAAGGTTCATTTTCCCAGCTTGTGGGTTGGTTTCCGAACGTTACATTTCCAAGCTAGATAACATCTTCAGCAGAGTTTAGGAGAGCATATAGTGAGTATTCCTGTCATCTAGAATGCAAAGCAAAAAAACTACCTTCATAGTTGGAAATAGATTGCAAAGAGTATTGAGTAAACATTAAGTTATATCCTTTTGGTGTTTATACAGTACAGAACAATTGTCCATTTATGCACTCTAACTACTCTTTTTTTACTTATAGATGAAAGGGTGTTTAAAGTTTACAGTCATTAAAGAAATAGTGGGGAAAGAGATAAATGCCTTTTTTTTTTACAAGTATTATTTTCCAGTTTTTCTTAATTACAATTATTTATTTTCACAATAAAAGCCTTGGATCTGTGCCACTGATGATGCATTAACCAGCATCATCTGCTGTTTCTTCAATCTGGATAACATTTGAATTTAGGGGAAATATGGCAGCCCGACTCTTTCAGTGAATGATTCATCATTAACTTAGCAGATATAATGAGGGACAGTCTTAAATTAAATAACTTATTAAAATATTGATGGCAATTATTGAAAGACAGAGCCAACTGGTTTCCATTTGAGAAAGTATTTAATAGGATGTGGGTTGTGGTTTAAAAACAATTGAAAAGTATTGCTTGGTAATTAAACACCTTACTAAACAAAATTCACAGAGGGTTGTCCCACATGATCATGGAATGAACATTTGTTTTTGATTTAATGAATAAAATCTGTAGTTCTTCTATTACATCTTCAGTTCTGCTAGGAGAATATCATATTTTTCCAGACCTCAAAGGTTACTTGTAAACTTTATTTTGGGAGGAGAGGAAATGGTCAGGAAGCAAGTACATCAATAGTTTGACCATTATGGAAAAGGTGGATTTTGATTTTGGATTTTGATATGTCGCAGATAGTTAATTGTGACTTGATTAGTAACAGTCCCCTCTTCTCTGCATACATCAGTGCAATTAATGGGTGTATAGAAACATATGCTGTATGGATTCTCTCCATCTCATAATTATAGGCAAGCCTTTATTTTTAAAATACCAATTCTGTTGGTTTGTTCAGTTTTTTAATGCCATAACCCCCTTAGCCATCTCCCTTTGTTGCAGTGTTAGAAAACTTTGGTGAGGGCAAGTCTCAGAGATCCATCCTAGGCTGCAATATTTCCACCTGTTAATCTTACATTATTGACTTTAGATGGCACTTCCAGAACTATTTTTAAAAATCCCAAAATATTGGGGTGGTGGGGCACTTTTAAAGACAAACCACAAATTCATATCTTTCTGTAAAACACTTTTCTGCTTTTTTTAGGGGCCCCTTGGATTGGATGGAAAGCCAGTAAGTAATGATCTAAATAATTAATACATTTATAAATATATACTATATACTTAGAGAGTACGGAAGATGCCCTAAAAAGGTACGAAGGAGCTGTTGCCAAGGCAGAAGAGGCTAAAGTATTTTTAAGTCAATAATTATAAGATAACATTCAGAAATGGCTCAGGCAGACCTCCCTAATTCTCTGTACTTTAAGAAAGAGGAAGAAGTACAGCACAGAATTGCAAGATTCTGTTATTCTGCCCACCTACTAACTACTAAGATTCTGTTATTCTGCCCATCTACTAACTAAATGATTCTACTCTTCCTGTGGAGTTTATTTCCTGGATTGGTCTACCTAATGGGGCTCACAGTGCCCTAATGCTTCATATTAATGTGGAATCGTTTATCCACAATTACTTCTGCCTGTTCCACCAATTCTGACAAAGTAGCCATGCTATAGCCTCCATCCATTCAATGTATGGTGGGACCCAGTGAACATGTCTTCC